AGAAGCGCTTTGATAAAAGCTGCTACGCGCCTGAACAAAGCAGGCCTTGGTGTTGTGGCAATGCTGAAGAGAGCCGATGCTGGAGCTCATTATGCTCGACCTGGTTATTCTGAGCCTTCATTTCTTCATGTGTTTCCTCATCTCTCTTGTGATCTGGTATGGATCCAAGGTATGGTGTGTGGCTTGCTGCGTGACTGAAAAGCTCCACTATTCTTTGTAGCTCTTTGCAACTTGCGTGTATCTATCTGCAGATCCTCTTATATCTCAGGATGTGCAAAGATATTTTTTCTAGCCTGATTTCCTGGGGAGGTGATGATAATGGGGTTGTGCTACGAGTGTGGCGTGCATCTACGGGGAGTTCTATGGTAACCGGAACACAGCACCTAACTATGCTGTAGTGGAACTGTAACCACATTTGGGAGGCAGATTAAAAGTCTCAAAGACAAGACGTTTGTTCCGACTCTGTGACAAAAGAGGGAGACTTGTTTATGCTCCCCCTTATTGAAAGGCAGAGTCCATTAGACATTTGAAATAAATCAGGGGAGGAAGGGAAAGCTAGAATACATTTGCTAAAAAGCCCCAATTAGAGACAGCTTCTTGCCAAACGATTTTTTTTCCCTTTTTGCAGCCATTATGTTTTTACTTTTTTATCAAGTTATATCCATTTGTATTTTTAGCCATAATATTAGTTAAACAATACTGGATTTAGATGTAAATATTATTTACATTTACAGCAAATGCTGTATTTTGCATTTAGCATCCTTCCATTTGTTTACATATAGGTTTTGAGAGGAGATGGTAATTAAAGTGTAAATAAACAAATACTTAGAAACTGCCTTTCTCTGGCTCAGATATCTGTCTGCAACAGTTAGTATTTCCAGTTGCCGTTCTGTTAATGAAATCTAGAAGAAACGGCCACAAACCGAAACACTAAAAGTTCCGCAGGAACTTAAGGAAAAGATTTTTTACCAGTGAGGATGACAGAGCGCTGGAACAGGCTGCCCAGAGAGGTTGTGGAGTCTCCTTCTCTGGAGATCTTCAAAACCCGCTTGGACGCAGTCCTGTGCCACGTGCTCTAGGTGACCCTGTGTGTGCAGGGGGGTTGGACTAGATGACCTCTAGAGGTCCCTTCCAACATTAAGGATTCTATGTGGCTCTTTGGCTAAACCTTGTTATCAAATTCCTGTGCTTTGTTTCAGGTACATATTGGTAATTTTATGAAGACTTATTTTCCTTTCATGTTGCATGTTAGATGGATAGTGGCTTTTCTGTGATAAAGGCACACATTCTATATGTAGTTATCCAAACATGAATTCATAAATATAAAGTGTCTTATTTGTGTGTTTTAAGGACAAGGACTTGCACAACGTGAGCAAAGGAACAGTTGAAATGGAGCGTGATGCTCTTGTGTATATTGGTAAAGAAGATGACATAAAAAAGTCCCAAAGAATAACCACCAAGGTCAATGGCAGAGAAGTTGTTGTTTTCCACCATGAAGGGAAATTTTATGCTATGGATGCTCGCTGCTACCGTAAGATATTTGCACATCTGATCTTGATGTTGTAACAAGTGTGAAATTTGTTACATAAATTAATATCATTCTCTACTGTGTTTTAGATGCAGGAGGTCCTTTACATCTTGGAGATATAGAGGTATGTAAGCATAATAAAAATAATGCATGTAAATATATTCATTTGATATCTAATGCATTTTTGAATAATTTAATCTGAAAATAACATTGAAAGAAATGGGCATTTATGTAAGAATATTTCCTATCAGTCTGTTTAAGCTGATACTTTTTACATGTTTATATCTCAAGAAGCTAAAATGGAGTGGCTCACTTTTTCACTCTGCTTTATTTTTTCCCTTTTTCAGGATATCAATGGTCAATCATGTATTATTTGTCCTTGGCATCAGTATAAAATTACTTTGGAAACAGGAGAAGGATTATATCAAGCCATAAACCCTTTGGAACCATCACCAACACCACGATGGCTATCAAAAGGAGTGAAACAAAGGATTCATAAAGTTACTGTAGACAACGGAAATATTTATGTGAGTCGTCCAGATTTGTCTGTAAGCTTTGACTCGGACTATTATGCTGACAAGTACAAAAGTAATGGTGATTTCACTGCGGAAAAATAAAGCAAATCGCAAGTAGCAGAACAAGCAGTGGACATAAAGTGGAATCCTGGTGAATGAAGAATCATTGCATCAAATGAAATTATAAAGTGGCTGTAAAGATTGTTTCTGGATAAAATTCTAATGGTAATGTTATGTTAAAGCATTAAATAATGTAGAAATGATAAATATAGAGGCTCCTAACTTCTCAGAATCCCCTGATCTTGTGCTGGTGAAGTGTTTTTCTCTTGCCTTTCAAAAAGACTTATGACTGCTTCATAATATTTGACATTTCAAAAATCTTATTTTGCTAGTATTCTTCTATTTTTTAGAAGGCAGGGTAGTATAGAGTTCCTACTGCTTATAAAACACATTGAAAAGTTTAAGTTAAATAGTCTGGTATAAAGGTTATATTTATATATTTAACAGTTTATACTTACAGTGCCTTCTGTATAAGTGACAGATTGAAATTTTAAACTTTCTAGATAGGTGAGTAATTTCTGACCTTTATTAATCTAAAGAGCCAGATTTTCACAAAGAGAAATACAGTATGTGAGCGTATTTTAACGTGCTTTTAATGTGCTTCTCTACCTATTTATATGTCATTACTGTGGTTCCATAGAAGTACTTCTTCTTCCTCACTGAACTCTTTTAATAGTATATCATCTAATGTTGCTAGTACTTGTCACGCATAATTCATTCTTCCAGATTCTGTTGCTGGGTAAGAAAGAAGCTTTCATGTAGAAAGATTTGCTATATCATGTAGCGGTTCTTCCTTTTTCTTGTTTGGTTGGTATGTGTGCATGGGTGATTAAAAAAAAAAAAACTTAAACACATTATTATATGTTCATTTTTTTTAAATATACTTTTTATTTAGATCTAAAGCTTGGTTTCTTCATGTGAGTTCACTGTAAAATATCAGGTCTATTCTGATAAGCCTACGCTCAGGATAAAGTTGCCCTCTGTGTTGTCTTGCATGAAGAGTGGGCTGCGGGCTGAGACGTGGTAGACCCTCCTCCCTGCTCCATGCAGCCAAGAGTGCTGCTTTCAAGTTCACAGGAAAAATTCTGTGATGGCTTAGCCCGGAGTGCTTGTCCTGTTTATCTGTTAACATGGCTGCATCCTGGCTCCAGGCTGCATTTTTGATGTTCTATAGGCTATTTGCAGAAATTCTGTCTTACTCAGGTTCAGTGTCAAGCTAATTGGTCTTCATGTATGAGTTTCTCCCATTCATTCCTTGGATTGTCTTAATATATGTGAATAATAAGTAGGTCCATGTTAAAATCACTTTTTATTTAAGTATATATTTATAAATAATGAGGAGCAGAGGAATACATCTGCACTCGATTCATCACAATGAAAAAAGCAAAGCATGGTATCAGTTTATATCACTATATGAAGTGATACATCATGTTTTAATTTAGAAGTCTGCATCTGATTGTGTCCCTTTGCATGGCTTTCATTGACAGTAGAGAGAAATTGAGAACTTAATGGCTGCCTGTTTCTAAACTTAAAGGTAAATCTGACCTATTGTAATTTATTTTAGAACTATGCCATAGAAATATGTTCCTTTCTCTCTTCTCATTGACTGTTAATTCATGGTGCTGAGTAATTCATGTGTAAATGCGTGCCTTCTGTCAGATGAATCACATCTTGCTCATCTGCTAGAAACTGCTGTTACTTACTGACCAGTTTTGCATATTTTTCTTTCTTACCCTTCTCGCAGCCAAATGTAGGTGATAGGAGGGGAAAGAAGTGGATAGAGGGGTTGTGAAGTGATACAGCTGCTACTGCGAAGGACCTGGAACATATATTGCTCTGAGTCATGCTGAGGGAAAGGGAATAGTGCTTCCCTTTCTTACCTTGTACTTCACCTAATTTAACTGATGATGAAATGTAAATGTTAATATCAGTTGATCCTTCTAACTTCTTTTCAAGCAATTCTTTTGCTTTTCCAGGGTCAAGTACAAACAGGTTATTCAAAGACAGGCCTTATTGCTGCTTGTAAATGAACTGCCTTGATTTGCGTTAACACCCAAGATATTGACACATTCTGTCCCCATTCAAGTAAATGGATCATGTTTTTATGATGCCGTATACTTAATATATTGGAAAAAACCCTATTCTTACTTAGCACAGATGGCTCTAGGGAAATAACATGCTTTTGTCACCTGCTGTTTTGGCCCAGGAAAGCTAGAGGATCAGTACAGTGGTAGCTCTAATTGTTTAATGTATTTCAGTGTTCCTAGCTCTGTACTAGCTCAGCACCCAGGAACCTGACCCTATCCTCCAAATTTTAAAAAGTAGTAGGTGTTCAGGATGCTTGGCACCTCCCAGGAGACTGTGTCACCTTGCAGTGCTCACTGTATTTTCCATGAGACTCAGCATCCAAAGAAAACCTGAAGCTTGCTGTCAGAAAAAGGGGCACCTTGTACCCTTTCAGTGACGCAGGTGTTCATGTGAATTTTTATTAGAAGGTTAGAGCATGGAGGGCTTCATAGAGAATGTGCCAAGAAGAAATAGTGCTTGAACTTAACTAAACTCATGTATTTTTTTCTAAATAACACTGATAACTAGATAATGTAAGGACAATAGGCTTATTAGAAATGCCAACCTCTGTATTCATGTTTAATCACAGTGGGCTTTTCTGCCACCTGGGCAGTATTAGCTGTAACAGAAAAAAAAAATCTGTTCACTTCTGTGGACAGCTTTTACAAGATGCTTCTTTGATGACCCACACTGGCAGTGTTAGTCTGCTTTGTTTCCGTGCTTTTACTCCATCCACACCTATTCTCTTAGGGTAACTTAAGAGGTTCCTGCACTTCTCAGTGGTCTATGCCAGGTGAAATGTCCCTGTTTTCTCACATATTACCTGCTTTGTGTGCTGAATGCTTAATTTTTAGTAGAACTATTTATATTCATACACCATCTGGAATAGAGGAAGGTGGTGCTTTTTGTCCATTACTGTTGTCTCTACAAACAACCTTCAGCTTGAAGCTTCACAGGAAGTATGGCTCCTCATATTCTTTCTGTTATTATTATAGAGGAGCCTGACATGTTATCCTACAAACAAATGGTATCCGAACATACTGAAGAAAATCCAACTAATTATTCTGTGTAATTCTCGTCTAAGGTAAAAGGAAAGCTCAAAGAACTACAGCTGGATCCAGAAAGGGCCTTACTTAGAAACGCAAAGCTGAATTTAAGCCCAAGCTTGTTCAGCTGTTCTTGTTAGTCCAGCAATGCAGGTGTGGTGGGAGGAGAGGGAGCTGGACTCCATCCGAGGAAAACGCACTCTGCAGGGAACAGGAACAACAAAGATTTCCACATTCTGCTACCCAGCCCTTGAGCTCTGTATGGAGGAAGCAATGTTCTGCAGGGCAAGATATGGTCATGGTTGCACCAGCATCTTTTTGTTTTCAGGTAGCACATAAATTTGTAGTTGGAGCCAAGATGCCTGGAATTCCAGCTCGGCTGTCACTTGCTCTGAAAACGGCCATGTTCCTGCTTGTGAGCTGTGCAAGGAAGGGTTGCCAGATCCCCATAGCACTGAGGAGCCAAGCAGAAATTGTACTGAAAACAGAACAAAATAATTTAAAATTGTTTTCTGGCATTTGCCCAAATGCTGTCTCTATCTTGCCTCATTAGCAAATAGAGTCCAAAATTCCTTCAGACTAAACAAAATAAATCTGATTTCCTGTGTTTTTATGTTAAAGAGATAGAAAAACAGAATGGTTCTAACTCCCTTTCCTGAGATCTTACATAAGGAACACAACTTGCTCTCTGCAAAGGGCAGCAGTTACATTATTTCACTGTAATAATTTGCTTTTCCATTACTTAATGAATAACATATTTAGCCACTTATAGGTAGTAGGCTGAGTGCCAGGAAGTTGATGAACTCCCCCTGAGCCCGAGTTTCCAGAGCTCTTCCCAGAACTCTGGGAAGCATACTCAGAAGGGATAGTGTACTCCCTCGCAGGCTAATCACTTATCAGTGAATCCAGTCAAGCAACAAGGTAAGTTTACATTCAGATGCCTTCTGCTACAATTATATTGACTTAAGTAGCTGCCAACATTGGGAACAAAGCTAGCAATGTGTGTGGATAGTCTAGGCAGTCCTTAGAAGACTGGCCTGAGTGTGTTTCACAGAGAGCTCTTTGATAGCTGTGTGGCAAGGCTAGGTAAAGTACAGCAGTAGTACTGCTTGGGGACCTGCTCAAGGGGTGCCTCGTGGTTATCTGGATCTGTCACTAGGCAGGTAATGGAGGAGGATTAACTTCCCACCACTCCCGTAAGTCCCAGGCCAAAGGAATGCAATGGGGACAAACCCTAGTAAGGCTTTAGGCCTGTTTGCTTGTTCAGAGTAGTTCCAGGTGAAATAGAGCACAACTTGAACTTGGGACCTTTGACAAACCCTTTGTGTTTAAAGTAAGACAGGCTGCTGCAACTTGTCGTTTGTACCTCGAGAGCAATATGAGCATTAGTGAGCATGAACACCACTAACAGCGTCACTGCCGCCATCTCCCACTTCCCTCGAGCCAAGGAACCAAAACAATAGAGGGCAATATGCCAGCAAGGCAACAAAGTTAAGGTTGCTAATATGAAACGGGAGGAACTGAGTTTCCAAAACAAGCAATCCTGTTTGGAAGTTTTCTTCTTCAGGCACTTTGGAGAATTAGTTTTATTTTGCAGAAAATGGGGCATGTTGCTTGCTTACCCGAGATGGGATCTGACAGAGTATTAGCAGAATGTATTATGCTATCCGGGAATCCTGTTTAGCTACAGGATACAGGCTTTTTCAGTTTTCATTAAGAGAAGCTAATCTGCATGATTATATATTTAAATATATATCTATACATATTTCCAGGTAAATATAGCTCTACTAGGCTATAACTCATGGTAATGAGAGACAATTTCTTTATTCAGTGTTCTCCATCTTTTAAAAACTGGAGAGCCATGCTCTAAAGTAAAACATAAGGATATTGTTGCAGCTTCAAAGCAGTGCCTTTTTATGAAAGCATGACTAATCAATAATTCCTTGCAACACGGCTTTCATATTGCTGTGGAATACATTTTTTAATTGTATTAGTATCCCACTGTATAAATATATATACACACAACTAGGGTTATCAGCTTCAATAGCAGTGTCTCATACCATCTCTCTTCAAATGGAAAACCAAAACCAAAATGCTGAAGTTAGGAGCAGGACTTCTGGAGCAACAAAAGGGCCTAAAAGATGTTTATGGAATGTGACAAAAATTAGGAATCACAGAACTGATTGCTTATTATTACTTGCTGATACAAAGGCAACTTTTATTAAGGTCAATAGGTGAATAAAGACAAAAACACACTTTTTTTTTTTCTTTTTAGGATTAAAGTCCTAATGTCCATTAGTTTACCTGTGGACTTAAATGTTTAATATTCTTTGTCAGAACTAGTGAGGATTTCATTTTATATTGATTACTCTGTATGTAATCCATATCATATACACAATGTATGCCTTTGGGACAGGAAGACTGTAGCATATACATTTTCTCTGAAATAATACCACAATTTTCTAGCAAGATAAAAGGATAATGATCTCCATTGTTTCTGACAAATAAGGCAAAAATTAACTGTGCTTGTTAATTTTAGTCCCGTAACTGAATCAAGATACTGAAAGTCTGTTTTTCCAGACAATGACATAACGTAACAGTTCTTTTATAAGATGAAAGAACTTCCTTCATGGTGGTTTCAGGTGAGCACTCTTTACTTACAAATCATAACATACCATCTCAAGAAAATGAGAAATATATGATCAGTCATTGCCAATTTCACTTTTTTCAAGTGATTTTTTTAAGAAAACAGCAAGCCAAAAGTTCTTTAACAGTAACTGGGATTTTTTTCCCCATAGGTAATAAACTTATATACAAGTTTTAAGTGACCTGGTGCTACATACATTTGAGACAAAAGTCCTTTTGACGTTATCAGTGTTTATAGGTCCTATATCCCAAACCTATGCTATGGCCTCAGTGATACAGACTTGAGAATGTCTCTACATCCTCAATTCTTCCTACTCTGGGATATAGAGAAGTAACTTGGAGAAAGAAGGTAGATGGGAACCAGAAATTTAAGTGCTGATCAGTAAGCCCTTTTTTTTCCCAATATCTTAGTAACTTCCAAGTCTTATCCAGGCTTTCAGTTTCATGGAACTTAATTTCAGTTCTTTGCAAGTGAAAAGCTAAGCATAGTATCATTCCTACTTTGATGCAGAGTGTTGTAGAATGAATTGCCCTCTGCAGATTCAGGGAGAGATACCATTTTGTGCAGTCACAAACACAGCCTGGCTTTATTGAAAAACCTGCTTGTTCAGAATGCCAGAAGCTGCTGTCTCTTGGCAGAAAAGTTAACAGATCTTAATCAATGTGTACAACGAACAATTACAACTGAAGTCAGTCAGCAAAATGCCTCTCATACTCAATCTGTTGAACTTTTATTCTAAAAACCTTCTCCAAAAATATAAAACCATGAAGATGCAGGTGTGCATGGCCAAAAAGGGAGGGGGAAAGAACAGAAAAAATAGACAAGATTACATCAACTGATGCTACTGTAACAGAAAGACTGGGAAGACTTAAATTAACATTGAAAACTAATGAACAAGAAATAACAGCATGAGATCCATTGTAACATTTTAAAATCAGTCTGCTCATGTTTTCCTTTTATATTTAATTTTCCAGTCTGCATTTTCCAGTAATAATGTTCATTATTGTATTTTCATTTTTAGACATTATTTTTAATAATCAGAAGATACTTCAGAAACAAGTTTTGATATCATTTATGGTATTACATAAGTGGTCTTCCTTCTAAAATATCAAAAATGTCATTTAAGCTATATTCAAGGCACCTCAAAAATTCCCGTAGTTCTTCATCTAAATAGCTAGTTGCATTACACCCTAACCAGGTGTCCGACACGTGATATCCAATTCCAAAGCCATCTGATACTACTGGACCAAATCCACCAAGATTAACTGCAGGACTCTGTAATGTACTAGTTGAAATTACATTATGATTTATTTTCTGGTAGGCGGTGTCAAGAAAGAAATCAGGCGTAGGTTCACCTCTGGACACGGCAAGATGTTTCAAGGCAAATAAATGGCGATCAAATCCATTCCCTAAAAAAACAAAACGCGTTGCCTGTTTCAATGCCAGAAACTATGCATTTTACTAATTATAATGCAGTATTATTCAGAGATTTTCTTAACCTATAGGAAGCAAATACAAAAGCTACAATAGCTAGAAATGGTACTTTTGCATTCTGATATTTCCTTTAGTATACCAGATTAATAAAATACCTAGGTTAATAATTTTGAGCATTTTAGTTGTAGTGACATACCTGACAGATGTGATCTTGCACCTTTGTTAAGGCAATACAACTTCAATGGAACTCAACACAATGTAATTATTCAACATCAAATTTCATTTGTATGGATGCCTGATTTAGATATCCAGATCTGAAAGTTCAGGTTTCATAATGGGAACATAAATTTACATAACCCCCTCCTCCTAGCTATTGTACTAATGTGCCTTTTTTTTCTGCTCCTGCGTTTACAAAGGCAACAGATTAAAACAAATGTAATTTTCCACATCTTTTGGATAGATGTTCTGAAAAGCTAAGAGATGCATGCAATTCTTCTCGGTGGGCATCTGGTTAGGAGAGCTGAATAAAGTATTCTGCAGTTATCTCTGTGAGCCCCAGTATGCCGTAAGAATCACTTTTCTTGTGGGTGCGTGCAAGAAAGTAGGGTTATTTTCAAATGGATCATTGTTTGGGCATGGCTTTATTCTGCAATAACATCTACCTGTAGAGCTGTTGAGGACCTAACTGATTAAACAGCTGGTGAGTAGCTCCCCTACACTATACAGCTAAGTACTTTTTAAAGATACAAAAACAAACATGCATTGGATTGCCCCTCCTCAAATTAATATTCTAATAAAAAATACTGTGTGCAAATAGAAACAACTTTCAATTCTAATCCTCATGTAGCATTCTAAAGAGACCTAAAAAGGAGCTACATATGGAAACTAATGTCTTTTCTCATTTTCACTTAAAATAAGTGTCTGAAACTGTAAAGAAGCGAGTACAGATTCTGCATGCTAGGGTAGACAATTGAAGTCTTATCGTCAAAAAATACACAGCCACTGAAATGAGACAAGGAGACAGCACTGAAAGATTGATGATTCGGAATCAGAGGAATTTTTCATTAGACTCTAAAAACGACCCTTCTTGGTAACAGTTAGAAGAGAGCAATATAAACAAGGAGTTCTGGGATTTAAGGTCTCTAGCTTGATATGTTAATATATAACAGAGATAGAAGAGAAATGAACACTGTTTAAATCTGCTAGGGAATAAGGGCTGACATTCTTATTTTTGTTTGTTTTAGGTAAAATACACCCTTCATGAAACACAACTACCAAATTTCCATACAGATTACAGAGCAGCCAAATAGGTATAACACTGACTCTTAAAGCATCTTTTATAGTTTTTAAAAGCAAGGACTGAGATCTAGATATCCCCCTTTAGTGAGTCTTGGGAGGCCTTCAAACATCAAGAGCATCAGAAAACATTAATACAATTTAAAAAACCTCATTGGCATGGAACTAACCTAAGGCAGCTTCCATTTGCAATCGTCTATGATACTTGGAACATTCATCAATCATATTTCTCAGTTCTGCTACACTGTGTTTACCTCTTCCTTCAACAATGGCCTGTGAACACTGTTTTGTGAGCATAGATGTGGGTCGAATGGTTTCCGTGCGTCCGTGTTTGAAAGCAGCAGTACTGCACGCTTCATAGGAAGGAACGACTTTTCCAAACTGTCGATAAAAAGTAATCTGACATGCAAGCTGAAAGATAGCATCGGGACTCATCCTCTGTTTTACAATATAGTCTTTCCCAAACTTTCTGAACTGAAACCTTTTCATGGACATTTTCTTCTTTCTTTCATCAAACTTTTCATGTGCAACATGCATAGCAGATTGGATTGAGTCATTCAGTTTAAACTGTAGTCTCTCACATGTTACAACAGTGGTTTCTGTAGACCTTGAATGTGGTAGAAGAGCTGGGTGCCGTGTACTGTTTCTATAAACTTCATTTACAAAACGGAGAACTGCAACTCCATCTCCCCAGGAGTGCTCAAAGTTTATTCCTGCACGGCCATCACCTGTAATAATCAGACTAATAGATTTATCAAACCAACGATTGAAGCCATTTCCATGAAGCAAGCAATGGGAGAGCTCATCCTCATCCTTTGGAAAAATATTATCTAAGCACAGACAAAATATTGCACTATCAATTTTCTTTAAGTTTTCTTCATTACCTGCTTCAAGAAGTTGTTGCCTTACTGTTGCCCAGATATTCCTGTCTTCAGTGGTCAAGTATGAGAGTGCAAATTCAGGCAAGCGATCTGCCTCTTGTATAATATAAATTAAATGAGCCACAATTTCAGAGGGATGCAGAATATTATCAACAGAATCCAACACATCGAAAACATAAAAGTGTCCATTTCTCATCACCAGCAAATGTCTTGAGCATTCACTTGTGAACAGTTCATCCTTGTTTAGTTTTGGAATTCTGGAACTTCTGAAGAGACGGCTATATTGCGACATATCCAGTGGATATGCATTTACCATATATGCTCCATACCATGACACAGAGGTTGGAAGAAGACGAATGAAGTTTTTGAAGAGCCTACTCTCACTCCACTTGGGGTCTCCATAGTATATATCTGGCCTTAAATAATTATGTTTTAGAGACTTCAGAAATTTTATGGATGATATTATGAGATTGGTTGCTCTAACCAACTGGTTGTTGTAAGCTTCTCTTGGATCAGGAGTTAAACTAATAAAGGGATTGAAGTTTAAAACAACAGGTTCTCTAGCAGAAAGATACATATTAAACCAAGGATCTACAAAAATAAGATTAAAACTCAGTTAAATCCCAGTTAACTATCTGTTGAAATACATCATATAAAATATTTCTATATAGTAAATAGTTAATTTGTTGACACAGCTTTAAAAAAGCGTGTTTTGACTGATATAAAGAGAATGTAAAACACTCCTAAAGATTGAAGATTTTACAGTAAGCTTCATTTATACTTTTTGTTTTAGCTTCTTACTGTATCTGATTTTTTTTTCCTTCAAAGGCCATGTTTTCATGTAATAAATAGGATACAAGAAGTATGTTTACTCCATAAGTAACTGCACTCCAGGAATTACAGCAGGAGTTATTTTTAGTCATGATGCTCTGTATCATTTTGTTTCAAATTCACTTAAAAAATGTTAATAAGCATGAGTTGTGCACATCATTTCACACACACTTCACTAAACACTGTCTTTCAGAGGGGGTAATATTCTTTTTCCAGCAGAATACATTCGGACCAAAGGACAGAAATGTAAGAGTAACCAAAGAGGAAAACTATTGTATAAGAATGATGTTATACTTGTAAAATACATGGGAAATGGTTTCATCAATTTATAGGTGAAAACTATTACTGTTAAAGAGAAAACATGAATGACTTTTTTATTACTTGTTTACATGCACCCTTCCTACATAATTCTCCCAAATACTGATCTCTGCTTGAACCTTTTCAGACATCATTCCCTTACTTTCCTATTTGAAATATTTGTTTGAATAACCCTTTAAAGATTTTTGTAGATGAGAATCTACATTCAAGATTGTAGCTTAAACTGCTATCAAATATCCCATATGATATATATATGTCATTTAAGACTCTTCACTGTAGAAAACTGAAATGAAAACGAAAGAGCACATGAAATTTATGTCTCCTGTTATCTTTTGGTAGTATTTAACACTACCCTTACAGTGTAAATGAATCAAAACACATCCTTTTCATTTACATTAAAAAAAAATCTTCAGGAAAAGACTTGGAGGTTCTTTGCAGGGGGTTCTTATATTTGAAATATAAGTAACTCAAACACATTGGTGATTGGAATCTTATTCACAGTGCCCCCTAACTGGAAGGAAAAAATAAGGCCTTTGCCTTTATAAAATTTCTGCTATTTATTGTATGCTGTTTCTATTTTCAGTTTTAGACTGGAGTGTGATATCTCTTTAGATACTGATTTTAGATCCTGAAAACCCAAATAACAGAGTCTGTGAGTGCGATTTTTTAAAAAGCACCATTTGGTTATTTTTTATGATTTAGTAGAGAAAGATTTATCATTAAGATAGAAGAGAAAAAAGGAAGATATATGAAATTAAAACAAAAATGCATCATTTTGCATTAATAAAATGTGACGTTTCACGATGACAGTAGGAGATGGAGGGAAATTTATGACGTGCTTCTAATCAAAAGCACATCACTTTCTTATCAAGAAGTAAATGCAAGTACTCCCAAAGCATTTCTAAACAGTTTGATTTCAATTTTTACTACACCTTAATAAGATATTAAGTGGAAAACAAACCTGATATATAGCTTGTATGTGTGTTCTTTTCATCTAGCTCTACCAACTCTCTATGCAATCTCCTGCCAGCTCCTTTTTCAAACTCCTTGGCAATTCTTTTGGTATTCCTACATTATTGAGAAAAGTACATTACTACAATACAGTAAAATTCCTCTTCTTGCTTATTTTCTTAAATGACAATCTTTTACAAAATAAAAATGAAACTCTTAAAACTAATCCATTCTGATTGTTTCTGAGCATTCTGATGTTGACCATTCTGGCATTCTGGCTTCATTTTTAATTGCAGCTACAATACAATTAATAAAGCAGTGGGCACTGAAGTAAGCATCACAAAACTTCAAACTGTAATAAGTTGGTTTATATCTGTGCAACCTCTAGACCAGTAATAAATGCAAGGTAATTTGAAGTTACATTTATTTATCTCAACCTAGAGGTAAAAGCACTTAAGTAAAACACTTAACCGTTTTATGGTCTGAATCAAGACTGCATCTTAAGCTTGCAGAGGTGGTGTTTAGAAGTAAAAGCTTAGAAATTCAACATGCCTTGTCACAGTGTTTTCGAAAGTATTTTAAGTACAGGTGTCCATTTTAAGGAAAATAATAACTTCCTGCATTCCAAGAAAATATTGTGAAAATAAGAAGTAAAAATCAGCTTAGAACTTGTTTGCCATTTCTCAAAAGACAGTGATTGCTAGCCTAATTTCCAAAGTAAAAAAAGTTTAACTGTCACATTATCCTTATCTATTTATCAGCTGTAAGTAGTGAACTTTGGCTATAGTCACCTGACACTGAAAGTGTCTCACGGACATTAAATTGCTACAAGTTTTGTAAAAACAGGTTGCTCAGCAGACAGACCTTAATCAACAATCCCATTGACAGAACAGCCAAAAAAAAAAAACACATAACTATTCTGTAACTGTACAGTATATACTCTAAATTTCAGGCAGAAAACCAGCATTATGAACAACTGAACTGTTGGAAATTTTTGATCAGAAGTGGTGCCGTATCAGAAACGCAAATTTTCCAAACTATCAGACATAAAAACATTGAAAACTAGGCTTCACTGCCAAGGCTTCATCAAAATAAACCCATTTATGAGCTCACTTTCATTTATATTCTTTTACCATATGGCACTTCTCACACCTGTATTGCTTATCATCCAATAAAGGTTCCTGGGCAGCCAAATACCGCTTGAGAGTATGCTCCAGCTTTGGAATGGGTAATCTAGAAGTAGAGAATACACAAAAGCCTATTAGATGAGAATTAAGCAGTTTTCTATTGCTATGCAGAAGGCAGTAAATGACAACATACATATCCCCAAGAAACCTTCTGCCTTAGCACACACAGCTCATCCTCACTCGTGCCACCTTAGCACAGGCTTCTGTAGTAAAAGGCATGTTGACAGCCAGCCTGGAAGAAGTTGGAAAGCATGAGAACCAGAAGGAGAATTAAATAGCGGTAAAATCATATCAGAATCAAGAAGAAATAGTATCAACAGCCCACTTAGAACTTTTTTTTTTTTTTTTTGGTTTCCAGAAATTCAGGGATCTAGTTCAGATCTAAGCTTCTAATACAAAACAGTCATCAAATGACTGGTTGGGAAGTATTTAGATTTTGCAAAAGGACAGCTGGTTATTAATACAGTCTGTGTTTTTATTGTGGAAAGGTGTTGGTTTTTTTATTTATCTATACATAATCTTCTATGCTTAGTGTTCTCTTCCTACAGTGCACATCACCTCATATTAACTGATACTAATAGATGATTTTCATTTATCCAATATAAGGAATGCTAACTGTACCCATGTAGTATATTTTTGGTAACAAAACCTAGAACCTCATGCATTGCTGAAGAAAGCTGTTCACAAGCAAGCGAAGGACAGAGCTTGCGCAGAGTTGTATTATGTAGCTGTGAGGCCCTTCTCTCCGTGGAGTTCATGTGCTGGGTCACTCAGTCTTAAGGGCTTACCCGGGGGATCATAAAGGGGATTAAAATGGCCTAGAACTTTCAAAATAGGCTGCATGGAGGCCATTTCCTCCCTGACCCCAAACCACAGCTGCTGCTTCTGGAAAAGAAAATGGTCCCATGCCTCTTTGAGTATGCTGAAGCCACCTACACAGTAGAGAGTCACCTACACAGCCACCTGGCACAGCAGTACTTCTGCCTGGACCATCCTTAGGGAGCTTCTCCACCTCTCTGTTCCCAACACCTTTCTCGCTCCCCTCAGCAATGGCTCCAAAGCCACCTCTTTCTACAGCTTAGCACCAGCACGGGACCAGGCTAACAACGAGGGGGCAGCCCAGGGCCACCTCCACATGGGTGCCCCACCACGGATCCACCGCCACCCCTGCCCTCCTCCCACCCTGCAGCACAGCCCGGCGGGCCCGGGGCCGAGAGACCCCACCTGGGCAGGCTGTCCTGGAAGTGCATGGTGGGGATGGTGCTCCTGTGCACGAAGTGGTGGTCCGTGTCCGCCTGCGACACGATGCC